AAAAAGGTAGTTTTAATGTTGAAAAACCCTTTGATTGATCATCTCGACATCGAGATGTATAGCTATGAAAAATAAAAAGATTTTAGGTTGTAGAAATAATGTATTTTACAACATATTATCTACACCATCTATTTGCAAGATTTTCATATATTTATAGATCTACTTGATTTTAACCATTTTTTAAATTTAGAATTTTATAATTAGATATAATAATAGAGTTTGAGATAATCCTAAGAACATTTTATACCAAAATTATATCCTATGATAAAATTTGAAGGTGCACCTTACCTCTACACCTACGGATGCATCTGAACCCTTTTTTTAAAGGATCAACTTGAAAAGAGCTGCACCTTGGAATTGCACACAGGTGAAAATCCAATGTTTACGTACTCAAAATTAGTTTTTTAATACTCATGGTAATTCTAACGTGGATCACCACGGTTGTGGTTTGCACAAAAAGTCGTAATTTTAAACAATCAAATTAAGGTATGGCTCCAACTTTTATTATAAGACGTAATATTGGTGTCAATTTTTTGTAGAATGGCCGGAGAATCCATTTTCTATCTCTAATTATTGCATTCTATAACTCCAAAAATAATTCAAATCATGTAGATCTATAAACACATAAAAAACTTAAAAATAAACGATCCAAATGATGTGTTTCAAGATACATTATTTTTGGGTCTCAAAATCTTTTTTTCTTTTTTTCTATATATTCATACATCTTAATGTCAAGATGAATAATTAGACGGTTTTCCAACATCAAAACAACATTCTGATATGGATTTTTGAGATGCACCTTAATTCTACATTTTTTCAGGTTGCAACCTTATATAAACGTTTTCCTTAAGATAAAAATCAAGTTGAATAATACTTTTTCAAGGGAGATAAAATTTAGGGTATTTATCAAATGGGATTGTTAGCAAAGAAACCACTTATCTTTTGTACATGGAGGTCACAATATCAACTTACACCCGACTTAAAATTACGATATGCTTTTCAAATTCCGATATTACGAGAGATTTTTTTTGTTAAATAATTTATTGTTTTCCTAATTTTTAGATGGGAAGAGAGACCCACCTACATAACTTTGTTATTTATAGAATGGAAATTTATCAAAAATACCAATTAGAGATAGAGTATTTAATATTTTATGTATTTGCAACTACTCCAATAGAAGACCATGTGTTACTTGATGTGTATTTTGAAAAGGGATTGTATACAATAAGACCATTTAACTTTGGAATAGGGATGTCACAATTATTTACAACCATCCGATGTGAAATATGATAGTTTGAAATATTTGGATGCGTTATAAAATTCGAGAAAATTTATTTTTTTGCTTTAGGTTTAGTCAATGAAATAAATGCAGTCACTTAATTTCACATCCAATGGTTAAAATTAATTATGATGACCTTGTAGAAAAGATAAATGGTTTCATTATCTACTTTCTATTTAATAAATCAAAATATATGAGAAAATAGTTAACGTGTTTGATAAACAAGAGTTCCTGGAAGTGGGACTTCGATATTTGACATTACTGTATAGAAGCCGTAAAGTGGAAATGCAGTCTTCTACACAATTAATTTTTAATGTTAAAATAAGTTTATTTTTAGAAGACTTCATTTCATTTCTATCAAACAGCGGAGTCTTTTATAATTTGCGGGAGAATCTCTTCCACTCCCAAAATATCCACGTGTCAAACGCAGCTTTAAGGGGTTAGCATGGACAGGGTATTTCTGTAACGATTTAGAGGTACATTCGTAATTTCACCGTATCATATATTTGTCTTTCCCCCGCATTCTCAATTTGAAAATCTTCTCTCTCTAAAAATGTGCTGAGCTCCCAAATCTCGCTCTCTCTCTCTCTCTCTCTCTCTGAAGTCTAAACCAAATCCCTCGCCCTCTCTCTCCCTAAACTAAATGCTGAAATACTCATCATTGTTCCCATAACAAGCTCAAATGTGTTCAAATTCAGAAATGCCGGATAATTATTCTTCCTCATGTTTCATTTTATTCCCTTTCTATATTTGGTTGCGGATTCACTGTAAATCCCATGAATTAGTGTTTCAAATTTCAAATCAGTGAACACAGATTCCATGTAAACTACCAGGAATTAGGATCTCTGGTCAGTCCCGTAGTTAGCAGGCATGTCAGCCTTAAAAATATTCAGAAAGAATGGTTCCAAGAGTTCACAAACCCAAGAAGGAAATGAGAACAGGCTTGAAAATTTGTGTGCTTCTTCTACTGCATTGCCCCCTGCAAGGCCCCCCTTGAACTTAATACCTGATCCTTCTCAAAACCCTAACCCTAGTTCCAAGTTTGTCTCAGAAAAAGTTACTGATCAAAGGCCTAGATTAGAGGTCACTCCACTGAGAAACCATGAAAAGACCTGTGAAGAATCGGAATCTCAAGGCACTGTTCATGGAAATGGAAGCATGCATTGCACAACCCCTAGGTCTATTTTGGGGAAGGGTTCGATGGGTAGCCATTCAGAGCCGAGTTCAGCTCAGAGTACCCCAACAAGGAATATTTCTAGGGTTTTCAATCATGGGAGTTATGGAGCATACACATGTGCTCGTCTGCCTCAGTCCAGTGTAGGGAAGGGTGGAGGTCCCTCAAAGGCAATGAGAGGCCTTCCTATCCTTGCATCTTCAAATTTAGTTCAAGTTCCTCATTTTGATCTCACCGAAGATCCGTCTTTCTGGACAAATCACAATGTACAGGTGAGCTATTTTGATGTTTTAGATGCTTACCCACTGAAAGCATACTTTGAATGGCATTTAGTAGATTTAGTCTTATGGAGCTGAAATTCGAGGATTTGTTTGTTGTGGTGCATTTTTCTCTGGTTCAAGGTTTTGATACGCATTCGTCCAGTCAGTAATAAGGAGAGGTCTTTGCAAGGATACACAAGATGCTTAAGACAGGAGAGTGCCCAGACTGTAACTTGGCTTGGGCATCCTGAAGCCCGGTTTACCTTTGATCATGTGGCATGCGAGACCATCACACAGGTGCATGACTATAAAATTCAGATACTTGCTTTATTGCCTTGGTGGAATTCCTCTTCTTTTTTCTTTTTTGGGTCAATTTTACTTTGTGTGGTTACCTTTAATGTACCTGTATCTGGGATTCATACAGGAGAAGCTTTTCAAGGTGGCAGGTCTACCCATGGTGGAGAATTGCATGTTTGGGTACAATAGCTGCATATTTGCTTATGGACAGGTAGTACTTTTTTAGATTTTTTCTAGAGAACAATAGAGATTTAGGAGCTGAAATCACTTGCGTCCTATTTTGCAGACGGGTAGTGGAAAAACATACACCATGATGGGGGAGATAAATGATTTAGAAGATGAGCTCAGCGAGGATTGTGGGATGACACCTCGCATCTTTGAGTATTTGTTTGCTCAGATAAGAGCGGTATGATACTCATCCGTCGTTGACTTGGAGTCGGACAAAGGGGTTTTATCTAACTAAATCAATGTTTTATCTAACTAAACTCTATATTTAGGAGGAGGAGAGTAGAAGGGACGTGAAGTTAAATTATGTCTGCAAGTGTTCGTTTCTTGAGATTTACAATGAGCAGATTACAGATTTATTAGAACCTTCATCGACTAATCTGCAAGTAATTTATCTCACCTCTTGCTCTTAGTTCGCAAAAGCCTCTTTTCCAATGTCCTTGTGAAGCACACTTTTTCCTCTTGTAGTTGCGAGAGGATGCAAAGAAGGGCGTGTATGTTGAGAACCTTTCTGAATTTGAAGTGAGAACAGTGAAGGATGTTCTTGATCTTCTGGTTCAGGTGATTAGCAATGAAATTTGCACTCATTTTCAATTTTGGTTTTTGAAACTTTTGTGGAGAGAATGGTGCCTCATGATTTGGTTTGTCATTCCAGGGTTCAGCAAACAGAAAAGTGGCATCAACCAACATGAATTCTGAGAGCAGTCGCTCACATAGTGTGTTTACCTGTGCCATTGAGAGTCGGTGGGAAGCTGATGCAATGAATCACCTTCGGTTTGGGAGGCTAAACCTTGTAGATCTTGCTGGTTCAGAGAGGTAATAAATGCTTGGCTTTAAGTTTGAAATTAGGAATGGCAGAGGCTTGTATGGGCAATCAGTTCAACTATCCCTACTCTATCAGGCAAAAAAATTCTGGCGCAGAAGGAGAGCGGCTAAAGGAAGCGGCGAACATCAACAAATCCTTGTCAACTCTTGGGTAGGCTTCTTACAAGCTTATGAGAATATGCCTATTTTATTTTAATTATTAGAGATATGTCTATTGATTTATTCTGCCTTCCCATGTATTATCTTTTCACAAAATCCTCTTGCACTCTATTGTTCTTTTTATGCTAAGGCAATAAAAAAACCATTTAACTTTTTATTATATTCCTTAACCATCACTGTTGTTTTAGATTTTCAATGTTTAACTGCTTGGGGCACTTGTTTGCACTTATCTCTAAATTAAAAAAGAACTTCACCCAACTCCAAAATTTGAATGATTGGAACTAGCTCAGATTTTAGTCCCCTATTTGGAGATTGAAGACTAAGCAAGAATTCCTTGAAAAGATTTATCTCTATTCATGGTTTGGAAGTCAGCAATACCATGGCGATTTTGTTTCATTATGGCGATACTGACATTGTGACTTGTTCAATTTTTTTTTTTATTTATTTATAATGTTAACCTTTAATTAAGAAACAAAGAGTACAAAACCTTGGCTTACCACAAAAAAGGTGCTCAAGGAGAGGATAAAAGAGAAAAAGGAATTGAAAGTCTCTTTCGAAAAGTTATTATTAAATGGCAGCAAGCTAAGAAAAGAGGCCGACCTTTCATACAAAAGAGCAAAAAAGAGAGAACCAAAAAGCAGGAAAAACTTATATAGTCCATCCATCTCCACTGCTGCTTTTGCGAGGGATTCAGCTTCATGCTTTCCTTCCCTCCAAGTATGCATCCACACGACAAATGTATGCCTGCAGAGGTAATGAACCTGATCAATTGATTGAGCCAAAAACCAGGCGGGGAAGAGATAGGATTTTGTGCCCAGGTAATGGAGTTCCTGGAGTCACCCTCTACAATGAGAGAGGGCAAGTTGAGATGTTGGATGAGTAGTAAGCCTTCTAGAAGAGCTTCCACTTCAGCCTCCATCGAATCTTTATAGACAATGTGTTTGGAAACTGAAGCCACGATGGAGCCGAGGTGGTCTCTAAGGATGGCTCTACCTGACGGTCCCGGGTTGCCAAGGGAGCATCTGTCGAAATTGAGCTTTAGCATCCCCTGTGGTAGTGGTTTCCAGCGAGAAGACTTGGAGGGACGAGAGCAATGATGTCTAAGGATGTTGCTCCAATCTTGTTGAAAGGCTGATACCAGGATTCCTTTGAATCGAGGATGATTTGTGGCCCAGAATATGATGGAAGTTCTGAGCTTGTTGAAAATTTTGAACCAAGGGGAGTATTCCCCCCTGAAAATCCTGAGGTTTGGCTCTATCCATAAGGACCACAAGGCTGCTGCCACCACTAATTTCCAGAGCATAATCCCTGCTTTGGCCCAAGGAAAAGGCTTGATTGAAGGGTGAATCGAGGTCACTTCAGCAGGTGGTACCCATTCCATCTTGAACAACTTGAGGACTGCTCCCCAAAGATTGTATGCGTAGGGACAATGCTAGAAGAGATTTTTATTAGTTTCCTCTTCCGCTAAGCACAAGACACAGCGATTGGGAATCTGAATGCCTCGTCTTTGCAGCTGATCTACAGTCAGTACTCTCTTAGAGAGGGCCAACCACGTAAATACCTTGACTTTTGGGGGAGCTAGGGAATCCCAGGCCTGGGCCACGATAGAAGTTGGCGCAAGGGGAAGAGTGGGAGGTAGCGACAAAGAGAGGTAAAAAGATGTCACCGTGAAAGAGCCTCCCGGGGCAGTAGCATTTCCTGAAAACTGGGTTCCAAGAGCAAGAGGTCCCAGTCAGTAGCATTTCTTGGGCTACTGTTTTCCCTTGATCTCTAGCAAAGCGATAGAGATCAGGATGTTTATCCCTAAGCGGGGTGAGGCCCAGCCAAAGATCATGCCAAAAGAGAATTTGATTCCCTGATCTGGGATGAAACCTAATTCGTGGTTTAAAGAGTTGAAAGGTAGAGTAAATAGACCTCCAAATACCTGAAAACATGTTATTGGTTCTAAATTCAGGTAGCTAAGGGGAGTCGTGAAGACGATACTTGGTTTTGAGGATGTTGATCCAAAGTTGGTTCCTGAGAGTAACAATGCTAACTTGTTAAATAGTTTCACTCATCCATTTTGTTTTCAATTGAATTTCTGCAGTATGTACAAATCCACTATTCCATTATATTATTCTTAATTGGTGAGTTTCATGCAGGTTGGTAATTATGACCTTAGTGGATGTTGCACAAGGAAGGCAACGCCATGTTCCTTACAGGGACTCGAGGCTTACATTTCTTCTTCAGGTTAAAACCTTTGAAGTTTTATTATGAGAAGTTATCCCTTTTACCACGTGCAATCCTATTTGATAACTCTGGCTAACTTAGCCATGTCCACAAATGCAGGATTCTCTAGGTGGCAATTCCAAAACAGCAATTATTGCGAACATCAGCCCATCCATATGGTATTTGTATATTTCAGTCTCAGTTTTGACTTGTTCGTCTATCATATAACTGAAAGAATGGGAAATCGAAAAGAGAAACTATACAAGGGCATGGATTAGAAAGGCTCACCTTAAACTAAATAGGACTTGGGAAAGGGTAACAAAATGAAGTTCACATGCGAGATAGATATGCATGTGCACAAACAACTATATATACAGAGCAACAAGTTGTCCCTTTATTTCTTGATTTCTTAGGAGGCGTTTCTGCCCCCATTTATGAAATAGGTTTCTCGGGATGTGTGTTTCCAATCTTCTGTAGCATTTCCTCTCCCTTTGGTTTAGGTTTTCCTTTGGATATAATATATATATTTTTTCGTTTTTTGGATATGGTGATTGTATTAGTTATCATATTCTGATTCTTACTATTTTCCTTGCAGCTGTGTAAATGAAACACTAAGCACTCTTAAATTTGCGCAGCGTGCAAAACTTATTCAGAATAATGTAATGGTTTGGAGTTTGTTATGTCTTATTAAATACATGGTTTTTTTATAGTTAGTTTTTTATTTCAAGGTTATGCTGAAGATATGAGCTATTATTTTTTTATCAGGCCATAGTGAATGAGGATGCATCAGGCGATATCACAGCATTGCAACGTCAAATACAACAGCTGAAGGTCTAATCTACCCACTCTTCTCTTATGTGTTCACAGTAAAATTTTGCCATTCAAGTGAAAAGAGCCATTTACTTATATGTGGTATTCATTGAACAGGAGGAGGTTACCTTCCTTAAACATGAAAACATTTCAAGGTCTCTTCCATTTCGGTCATCAATCTCTGGACATTTCATTTGCAGTACAGGTTTTGCAGAATATGACTCTGGTCAGGCAAATGATGCTTCTGGCATGATACATGGCCCAGTTAATTATGTGGATAATTTGACAGCAAACAACCTAGGATTATTGAGCAAAAAGGTATGGCCTTATCCATATGGGAGGTTTGGCTGCAGTCTTGAAAATTTTATCCTATTACAATTGTGATCATTGATCTATCAATCAGATGAAATCCATTGAAGCTACATTAGCTGGCTCCTTGAGGAGAGAGAAGATGGCAGAGATTGCTAATAACCAGCTAGAAGCTGAAATAGAACTAATGAATCGTTTGGTATGTTTTTATCATGCATACAGTGCCATCTTCTCAGTTTTCACATTTAATAATTTGCTAGCATCTAAATATACTTGCAAGTTGCTGGGTTTTCTAAACATTATTATGACCTGCAATCAACAGGTAAATATTCATTGTTGATTCTCTGTTTCCTGTTCATTCGTGAGTGTGATCATTCTCAATGTTTTTTGTTTGCAGATTCGAGAAAGGGAAGATGAAGTCTATCGTTCTAAGACAATGTTAAAATTCCAGGAGGAGAAAACTAGAAGACTGGAGTCATTTGTAGGTGGTACCAAGCCTGCAGATGATTATCTTCTGGAAGAAAATAATGCTTTATATGAGGAAATACAGTTGCTTCAAGGGAAAATTGATAGTAACCCTGAATTGACCTGGTTTGAATTGGAAAATAAAAGACTTTTGGAGCAACTTAGACTGTAAGTCTTATTTTCTGATCTCCATGCCATTACACTGTTATGTGAATTGCTCTCTGTTTGAGCTGATTTCTTTTGTCATTTCAGGTTCCAAGATTTTTATGAGGAAGGGGAACGAGAAATTATGCATGCTGAAGTTTCTGAACTGCGTGATCAGGTATCTGCAAATCACTTTCTATTTTGTTGCTTCCGTCCTTCTGTTTATTGAGTCCCTCGAATTTTATTGAAAATGACATTTGAGTTTTGTAGCTTTGCGAAGTACTTGAGGGCAAACTTGTGCAGAATAATTGCCCCACAAGAACAACTTTGCAGGTTTGTCTAACAAGTGTTGTGTTTATGCGGCATTTTCTTGCTTTCTTTTTGTATTGTGTCTGGCTTAATTTGTATGGCGCTTATGCTATTGATCTAACTGGAGGAAGTGCAGTTGAATCTTGCTGCTGCAACTGAGGAAAATGTGTCTCTGACTATGAAGGTCAATTCTTCTCTTTCTTGTCATTCTGGATTGCCATTACTATGGCATAAGATACATGGTATTACAATTTCATTTTGAACCTGTTGAAGCATCCTGAATTGCTGTTTTTTTTCTTGTCCCATCTTTCTTGCGTTCAGGCCGATGCTACCTTGCAAGAATTAGAGGATTGCAAGAAGAATCTTGGTGCTTGCCTAGAATCTAATATGAGATTGACTAGGTACCCTCTGTTTGGTATTTCTTCTTATTTAATTGATTTGCCAATGAGACCCTAGACTTATCCTTCATCTTTCTTTGATCCAAAAGGCGCTGTAATATGATTAATAAAGAATGTAGAGTAGAAAATTAACTTATTTCAGAAGTAAATGGTCATGGTCTGAAACCTTTTGTTGCTGCAAGTGACTGTTCTACATTTGTGCTTATTATGGTCTATGCTTTCTAGTCCTGATCAGTGTTTCCAGACCCTGGTGAGTTGACTCTGACTCACCCGAGTTACTTGGGTTCAGCACACTCCCGAAACTGAAGGGTATATATAAGTGAGTTATAATTAAATAAAGTGGATTTAAATGATTTTTGACTAAATCAATTATGATTGACTTATAATAGTTTTCTATGTGCTTTTTATGGTTTTAGGATTTTAATACTTTGCCTTTTTTTATTTTTCTCAATTTTCTGAGAAAATGATCTTTAACCAGTTTTCTATGTTTTTACTTTTGAATTTTTTCTCATGTTTTATATATTTTTTCTTTTGTTTATCTTTTTTTTATTTTTTCCCTATTTTTACCAGTTCTTCAGTTTTTTTTTTATTTTTGTTTTTATTTTTTATTGTTTTTTGGGTTCTTTGTCCAGCTTGGCACAGACTTGGGCAAGTCAACTCACACTCGCCCCAGTGACTTGTCCAGGCCAGGCCCCAAGTTCTGACCCAGAGCCTAATTTAAAACAGAGGTCCTGATAAATTATGTCGTGAAGCGGGAATCAAGTTGCAGCGTGTGGGGAAGCTGTTGATTTTTTGTTCTTCATCTTGCATGTATCCTTGAGTCACAGGGAAGTTGATGATTTGCACAACCAAATGAAGAAGTATTTGAAGTGCAAAGAACCTATGCTTCAAAAGGTTTGAATCAATATTTTTGTTGCTAGCTAGATGTAGCATTCTGAAATTTGAACATTGATAAGAAAGAGCTCATAGCAACTATTTGTAAGCAATTTTTCACACCATTATCTACTCTGCAGGTCGAACATTCATTATTTGAATTTGGGGACAGGACAGCGGAGAAACTGCAGGAAAATAGTGTGCAGCTAGTCTTGGAGGAGGATATTCTGGTGATCTTTCTTAACAATGCTATCAGTGCATATGGTGCATTTTCATGTTTTATCATTTACTTATTCCTTGATTATGCTAAATGAATTGCAATTTGGACCTCCAAACGTCATTATGTTACTAGAAATGATAACTTGCTCAGAATATGTACATCTACCACTGTTGAATATGGAACGAAGATTGCCATTACTATGAAGTTCAAGCTTTCTTTGTGAATTTGCAATGAATAGTTGAAGACATTGATTCTGCAATGGGAACAGAATGTTATGAAAATTTGATGTGTTTTCAGGTCGAGACTGAGTTCATCCAAATGTCATTATGTCACTAGAAATGATATGATGCTCAGAATTTGTATATCTTCCATTGTTGAATATGGAATGAAGATTGCCATTACCATATAGTTCAAGCTTTCTTTGTGAATTTGCATTGAATAGTTGAAAACATTGAACTGCAATGGGAACAGAATGTTCTGAAAATTTGATGTGTTTCCAGGTCGAGAATGAGTTCACCTTATTGCATCATGAAGTTGATTCTCTAGCTGCAAACGATCCCCTGTACTCAAATCACTTGACACTTTTGAGAAGGGAAAATCAGAAACTTCAGGAGAGATTATGTGTATTAGCCAAAGAAAATGCAAGATTGTCACAGGTGCTAAGGGATAGAGAAGAAGACACACACAAATTGAATGAGGAATGGGAGGAGGTCACTATTGACCTTGCAAAATATCTTGTAGATGGCTATCAGGCACTTGGAGTTGTTTCTGACCAGGTTGAAAGTATTTCCAATACATATCCTTGGGGGCATGCTCGGATTGTGGAGCAAGTTGAGTTTTCTTGCGGTACCCTTGCAGAAAATAATACATCAGTTGAGTGTTTGCAGAAGGAGTTAGAAAATGCACAAAGGGAGGGACTCAATATGAAAGATAAATTGGCATCCTTGAAGGAAGCAGCTCTGGCTATTATTGATGCTCAAAAGTTAGAGAATGATGAAAAAAACCAAGAAATCATACGATTAAGGTCTTTGTTATACGAGAAGGATTCTCTTGTATATGAGCTTGAGAAAATGATTAAACTTGGTAATGCTCGGCTTATTGATGCAGAGCTATGTGCTAGTGCTGCATCTGGAGCATTGAAGAGACTGTCTGAAATGAGTCTTATTCAGCATGAAGTCAATGAACCTGTGGTAGAGGGTTCTCCCAGTACAGCAACCCATTGCCATCACAGCGAGGTTAATGAAGCAAACCTTCAAATTCATTCGCACAAATTGACTAAAGTTGGAAGCCAGCACCGTACATTGAATGTCATCAGCACTGAGCTTGCCAAAGCAGATAAGAAATTGGCTGAGCTCAAACTTCATATAAATGAGTTTTCAATCTGCCTGAAGAAATATGTTATTGTGGGATGGGTAAGTCCACATTGTGTCATATCCTTAAACATCCATCTAAATCATGTCAATCCTTCAATTTTTGTTCAAATTTCTATCTGATTACAATTTTCTGTTGATTCTGGTAGTACAACCTTCTTTTTCACACAGTTTGGTCTCATCATTTGTTTATCATAATTTCATCGATTGCAGAAAGCAAAGGCATCAGAAAAGTCAAATCTCAACCCACGTTACTCTTTCTTTGACCATGTGAGTTGCGACAATCCATCAGATAATCTTCTTGAGGTTTCTTCTAATGTAAGAGAGAGAAAGTCTGATATGTTTGGAGATGAATACCATGAAAGTGTCGAGACGTTGACAATAGAAGACCAGGAATCACACAAAGATAATGATTCTAATTGTAATGCCAGGTTTCTGGAAAAGGCAGATTTCCATGAGGTGGTGGATAATGTAATGTCCAATGATGCTGGGATATTTCATCTCAAGAAGGAAATAGATTCCTCTATAATGAGCTTAAGGAATATACATGTGCTGCTGAATGGTATGTCAGATAATGAAGAACCTAGGGAGCCTTATGAACAAAAAGAATATTACAATGACGTGGTCAATTCTAATACTGAAAATCGTCAAGCAGAGATGGATCACAAGGATGAACAACATAAGCTTGCAATGCTGGAAATGGAACATAAGCTGCAAACTTTTGAGGACTGGATTGAGAAAGCTGAAGCAGAATGGCGCAAGACCAGAGAGGTAACAAGTTTAAACACTAAACTTTGTTGTAACTCTATGACATAGCTGCATCAGAACCTCCTATTAATTGTGTTCTTATCTCTTATGCTGTTTTTGCTAATCATCGTTAAGTGACATGAATTTCCAAATGGGGGTTGTAGGTTTATGTTTTATTCTTGTCCTTGTTTTGCTTTACAAGCAGTCCTGTCTTTTCTTGTTGAATGTCACAGCTTCTTCATCTTGAGCATATAGATGCTGAGCTGGTTGCTGCTGAGAAAAGTGATCTGGTGAAAAGTTTGCTTATGAAGTTCGAGGAGGCTCATGAGACTATGAAGGAGGCAGATTGGTTGTTAAATGCACTGATGAAAGAAAATGAAAGCGCAAAGCATGAGGCATATCAGTTGAAGAAAGTTGGGGAAGGATTGATGGCAGAGAGGACATCCTTGATTGCGGACATTCAAAGCCTGAAATCTTCTATCTGTCTGAAAGAGGATCAATATAAGATCTTACAAGATCAGGTAAATTCAAACATTTTGGAAATCAAGGGCTCCATTTCTTCACTAGAGCTATCTCTTACTCAAGTGCAGGGTGATATAAAGGATACTTTTATGAAGGTATGGTATGAGATTTGTTCCTTTGGAAAAGATATATTGGACTATTTTGGCACAGTGGATTCATGGCAAGTAGATATCTTGTCAGAGATAATAGAGAGAAGTTTTTATTTATATGTGGTGCACCAATGTTACATAGAGTCCTTTCATGAAAAACTCAACAGCTCAAATGTAAATGCTCATTTTTATCAACATGTAAGGAGGGAATCTGATATCACAGCGGCCAATTTGAGTGTTGCACATTTGAAAATAAAGGGAGCTATTGGAAAGAATGATGGAACAAGTGGCATTGAGAAAGAAGCTGAGTTTGAACTTTCAAAGTGTAAAGCCTCTCGATCCGCAGATATTGAGAAAAAGCTAGATATGGTGAATACTGTTGGCGTGTCCAATGGAAATTTTGTTGATTTTGATGCTGCATTTTGCCCAAAGCAAGAACTTTCACTACACCTGAGACTGGAGAAGATTGAAAAGCTAGAAGAAGAAAAGTTAGCATTAACCCAAGACATTCGAAAATTAAAGCAAGGTATTTACAGACAACTCGCAGATATTGATAGAATCCGTGACGACTTAGCTAAACATAAAACATTTTCAGATAGTGTGGTTTGTCTTAATGGGCATGACAACCTAAATATGAATACTGTGATGACAAGACTATCAGGATTGGGCACAGAGGAGTCGATACTTTCTGATGATCAATGCCTTGACTGCACCAGGATCCTCAATGGGATTGAGCCCTGTCATCTTCAGTTTCAAAACTATGGAATGGATTCTAGGAGGTCAGTGAATAGAGGAATAGAAAAGGATATTGCTGGTACTATTATGGATGTGAATTCTTGGTGTATCAAAATCCAAAATATTAAGAGACAGTGTAGTGGATTTCTTGCACCTGCGAAGGAAAATGAAGAAGGAATGTACGAGTCATATCCACAGATGGCACATAAAGGTTCAAATAAAGGTGATATACAAAATAATATTGCAATGTTTGGGCTGGAAGAAGAAGTTGGTCCTCAAGATTTGGTGGAAATGAACACTGAATCTGTCTGTGATTCTATTCAAGCGATGGAGATTCTAAGGGAAAAATTCACCTATTTAAAGGATAATGTACCTTCAATTAAGCCTGTGGAAAATGAAAGTACCGATGCATCTCTTGAAATGCTGCTTCAAAGGATCAGTATCATTGAGGAGAAACTGTTCAAGTACATATCTGTGTGCTCCAAGCTTCAACGGATTAAGATTAGTGCTATTTCAGATAATTTGTCCCTTAAAAGGGAATTGGATCGCAAGGATGAGCTTTTAAAAGGGCTGTTGTTTGATATCAGCTTGTTGCAGGAGTCAGCATCTGAAGCAAAGGACCAAAAGGATGAACTAGAGGGGGCAAGGGATGCCCTAAATTGTGCTCAAAATGAGCTGGCAGCAAATACAGCTGAGCTTGATGGTATAATGGTGCAGTATAGAAAGGTTGAAGTGCAGCTAGCCAATAAAGAAACTGTAGTTTGTTCTCTGAAATTAGAACTTGATCAAGCCAACAAAACATTAGAGCTAATCGCGGATGAGAATATACAGTTGAAAGATATTTTTGAAGAACTCTATGCAGAGAAATCTGCTGCAGAGGTTGAACTGGAGGAGAAATCAAAGGTTATTGAAGGATTGGAGAAGGAAATCAGCAACTTAGATTCTTCAGCTGGTCAGGGGGCTTTTCAGTCATTTCTGGGCATCAAGAATGAATTAAAACATTTCAGTAACGAGAGGGATCACCTTCGTGCACAGGTGGTTCGACTGAATGGTCAGCTGGATATGGCAAAGGCTTTAGCTGATGAAAATGAAGCTATAGCCATCGAAGCCCGCGAGGTGTGCATGTCCTTGAAATATTATCTTTTTATTGTATATCATTGTTGATACAGAAGAAACGATTCTAAATTTATTTGTTGAAGCCCGTGCATGACTTTGAGTAATACTTTCAGCTATCAGAAGCAAGTAAAGCTTATGCTGAAGAGAAAGAGGAGGAGGCTAAGATACTAGAACATTCGGTGGAGGAGCTTGAGAGTACTGTCAATGTATTGGAGAAAAAGGTATATCTGTTCTGAAGTCCTGTTTTAAGTTTAAACCAAGTCCTGGTCAGTGTTTATTAATTTCTTACTCCTAGTTGGAGTAAAAGGCCTATCTACTCTGAATTTTTCTTTCTACTAGAAACTATGTCCACCTGAATGGTTCCTTAATGTCTTGTATCTGGAAAGTTCTTTTAGCTGTGCTTGATGCTGATGTCAGAACTAGATCATGGTGCTTATTTGAATTGATGACTTGTGAATTGGTGTCTAATTTATTGGGTGTACGACTATGCATGGGACATGCAACTCAGCAGATTTTGGATTTGGCTGTCACAATGTTATAATTTCACTTGCGTGATATTTGCCCTCACCAGTAAATCAAGAAATTTCTTCATCTGATTAAACAAATTATAACCTAGTTCTCCCATGTTGGAATTTTCTTTATATTTTTTGCTTATCCAGATGAGAGGCCCTTTTGCATCTTCATGATTTTGTGATGGTAGGACTAGTCCGGTGTCCTCCTTTGTTTTATTATTTATTTATATTTTGGCTATGTTGCCTAGTATCCTATTATTATATGCTTCTGTTCAAAATTGAGCTTATTGTTCATGACTTGTGTTTCTCTTGTTAGGTGTATGAGATGGCCGAGGAGGTTGAAAGGCAACGGTTAAGTAGAGAACACTTAGAATTTGAACTTCAGTCTCTGAGACACAAGTTTTCAGTAGAACAGGAAGCTACTGGAAGCTTATATTTGGAAAATCCTGTAATCGTGGAGCGAAAAGATGCTCAGTTTTCAAGGTTCAAATATGCCTTGAAATCGAATGAATGATATCTTTGAAGATGAATGGTTCAGCAGCATTACTTATGTAGTATTCCTTGCAGGCATACAGAAGAGGGAGAATTAGAACTTCATGAGGCAAGGAGATGTATACAAGCTCTTGAAAAGGAAAAATTAGATCGAGAAAATGAGGTACATGTTAGATGATTAGTGATTTTCAATTGTATCTTAATGTAATCAAGTCACTGTGCAGGTGTTCTAATTGTATACTTTCACATTTGCTTGTAATGATTCGGATTTGACAGATCAGGCAATGTAAAGATTATATCTCTGAGCTGGTTCTGCATGCTGAGGCCCAAGCATTACAATACCAACAAAAGGTTAAAAAATAAAAAAAATGCTAACATTTGATTCCGTAGAGAGTATGATAATAGTTGTTTTACATAAGTTTAGTACTTTAGAGTAGTAAAAATAAAGGAAGCTTCACAGATACTCTCTTGTTTACCTTCTTTTGTCCCAAGCAGTACAAAAATTTGGAAGCCATGGCTCGTGAAGTGCAAACGGATTCAGTTCCCTTAATTGGTGCCATGACAGGCAGTAGAATGGAGAAAGCCTCAGCAAGGACCAGAGGTTCAGGTTCACCATTCAAGTGCATTTCCGCCTTGGTGCACCAAATGAACTCAGAAAAGGATCAGGAACTGTCATTGGCCAGACATCGCATAGAAGAACTTGAAGGATTGGCTGCACTTCGGCAGAAGGAGGTATTGCCTCCAATTCACAGGGATCTGCTGTTTTCTAGGAATTCCTTTGACTCCTTTAGTATTTATTATCTGCTATATGGAGTGAGCATTTTAATAGCAGTCCTTATTTGCAGTCTCTATTGGATTTCTTGGCATTTGATAAATGACCAATTTACCTCCAAGGATATTTTGTTTTGCACTTCTGTTACCTATAAAGCTCCACTAGATGAAAATAGTGTGCTTTATTAAACATCGAAATATCCCTTTCGAGGAGAGCCATTGTGGCTCTCTGTCTAACTATTTGTCTCTGAGAGAGAGAGAGAGAGAGAGACTTGTTTCAAATTTCATCAACAATTATTTTTCTTCAAGTGTATGTCTGCACTATTCACAATATTTTTCTTATATTTATATTTGTCAGATATGTATGCTGAGTGCAAGACTGGCTGCAGCAGAAAGCATGACACATGATGTAATTCGGGATTTACTTGGAGTCAAGTTGGATATGACTAATTATGCAGTAAGCAAAACTATACGAGGTTTCTGAGTTGCACAGTTTCTCTTTTCTTTTTTTGATCTTTTATATACCATCTGTCTTTCGCTTCAAAATGTAGAACGTACTAGACCAGCAACTGGTGCAAAAGCTAGCTGAGAAAGCTCAAGAACATTATGAAGGGTTCCAAGCAGAGGTTCTGGTCATCAATTACTTCTAATTTTTCTCTATGCAATTTTTTCTTTAAGTTTGCTTTATGTGATTCACATATATTTACTTCCTGTTTTTGTGTCATCGATAAATGCAGGAAAATTTTAAGCTACGAGAGCAGATCAATGATTTGATCAAGAAAAAAGACAGGTGTACTTCCGTTACCAAATTCTCATTCCCTTTTGGCACTTCCCTTTTGTCTGTTCGAGAGTTTTAAACCTAGATTTGGGCTGTGGGGAGATCAAAAGTTCGTTTTAAATCTATAGGATCCTGCCATGTTATGGATAGATGGACGATTCTTGGTTGGGTTTAGGTTCTCTTTATGTTTTCTTGTTTGCCAAAAATAGCATCGGCATATGACCTGATATAGCCAAGTTTTACTTTTAGCTGGGCTGAAGAAACTAATCAAATACAAGCAGAGCTTCTTGCTGCAAAAGTGACAGCTGAGCAGCTCCGTCAACGGGGACTAATGTTAACAGCGCAGAATGAGATGTTGAAGGTGCATGATTAGTCTTTTCTATTGCACCTTTCCTTAATATTAATATTTTTTTTTTATGCATGTTTTGTACCCTTGTATAGATGGACAAAGAGAAACTCAAGAGGAGGCTCAGCGAATTGGAGGCATCATCAAAGCGGATACCTGGGTCACGAAAGCCCTCTCAGCAAACTCAGTAAATACTATAAGATGTAGGTGACATCATTTATTCTTGTAATTTCCTATGGAAAACCAGTCCTTTTCTTTTTCCCATCGTTCTACCAAATTTCTGGTTCAACAGGAGATCAAGCAACTCTAGCAAGGTGGAGTACATGGAGAATTCACCATCTTGAGTAAATTTGAAGCTTGGTTCTTATTGTCTGGTGGATAGACGGTAATATATACGTCAATGGTGATAAACAGCACTATCTGATAAATTGTTTGGAGGCGACAATTGATTGAAGCTGGTAAATAAATGAACTGTGATTCTTCCCTGTACTTGAAACTTAGATCTTTGCTATGTTTGACACTGCTTTGTGTCTTGGTCTACAGATGAAAGTGAGAGGAAAGAATATGTTAAGGTGAACCATGGCAATAACCTTCACCTTAGAGAATGGAAGGGAATCAAATTGCAGAAGATTGGTGTAAAGTGCATGCCCTTTTATGTTTATATTATAAAAAAGAATGTAATTTATCTTGTAAATCTGTTGGTTCCTTTTGTGAGAATTTTAATTTTGTCAAGATTGTTCTGCTGGAGTATTGGCTATCATTTTTGTGTGTTTGTTTGCGCACATTAGAATGTTGTGAAATTTATGCATAATAGCAAAGCATGCCTTACTAGTAAGTATGAAAGCTCTCTCTGTTTGTTAAAAAGGCAGGCTACAAACGTTCAAGCATTAAGCGTATAGCTCAATGTGTCAATTTTCCTAACTGAAGCATCTCTTTTCTTTAAAAAATACGTGTGGCATTTTTAATTGAAGCAATTCAGTGGCACAAGACTTTTGGAAGTTTATGGATGCATCTTCATCTCCGAGGTTAGTCGTAGCTAGCCGTATGTTTGTAATCTTTAACTGTCCACTCTCAGTTGCTTCTACCTCCACAAAAAGAAGGAAACACAATAAAAAGAAAAAGACCGAGTGACAGTATCCAGCCATTCACTTAGCAACATGGCTGATAAAATTCATTTCATAGCCCTCAGGCTCTTAAAACCTTTTGAAATTAGAGAATGTTGGTTAGCTTATGATTTTAACTACATAGGCGAATAACTAAACTAAAATTTTAATTTAATATTTCCGTACTCTTTGAATTAAAGGCAAATTATTGATATTCCCAGTGGACGCAAAGAAGAGCGTGCTTGTGGTTTCCTTGTTGCTTGTCTTGTTTATACCCTTTTACCATCCTTTCCAAGTAGATTTGAGAGGTTACCCAGTAGCCCATTCAGGATAAAAGTTGATAGTCCCATGAAGATTGAAATTGGGCAAAAAGGAAGTAGAATAACAGCTAATATTATTAACAAAAGGTAATCCTTTTATGGGTCTTTGTATGTAATTTTTCTTAAATTCAAATGCCATCCAATTAAATTAAGCTTAGAAGAATGCCAGTGAGTTGATAATAATGTTACAAACAAATAGGACATTACTATTGACATCTATCTAATTTGCTAGAAATATGCGTGGAGACCCATAGAAAGTTCGTACTTTTATATAAACGAAGAACTTTATATAAGTGTGAGCCTCTAAACAATCAAATTAGAACACACCTCAAAAATTTCACTAGAAAAAGTTGTTGAGGCCCAATTATCCTCAAATTGATCATCTCGACAACACGATACATGAGAATGGATTTCAAGTTTTGGAAATAGTGTATGCTGTAATGCATTTTTGGACCATTAATTTTCAAATTTTCATAGATCTACTCGATCTACACTATTTTTTAAACTTGAAATTCTATAACTACAGATGAAAGTATATTTTAAGGCCACATTACAAAGACTTCCAATATTGAAACCCCATTACTCGACAGCATTTGAAGGTGCATTTTAATTTAATTGTTTAGATCCTTGGCTCTATACAAACAGCACCCTTATGTAAAGGGCCACGCACCCTTATGTAAACAGCCACACATTGCACAAATATGGAATGTCCATAGAGTGCGGCAACAATGGAGCCCCAAGTAGTCACAGTATTTAAAAATGACACCATTTCTTTATCATAGACAGGTATAATTGCGATACACATGATTGCAGTCCTCGAAATCATATTGCAAGGAATTCTGTCAGTGCAACAATAGGAGTCTTAAAATTTGTGCAAATGAAGTTAGAAGTTGTACATCTGAAAGACTGAGGAGTCATTCATGGTGCTTCAATTGTCCTTTTTCTCTGTTGCCAATTACTTTGGAGTATAAATATAGACGCGTTTTAGAGTTCCCGCTATCACAGAACTAGATGTTGACAATGTCAAGAAATGGAAAAGCGAGAACCACAATAGCTCTCCCGTGACGAAAAGAAAATTTGGTTAAATATAAGCTACCATGCAGAAAAAAATAGTGGGTGAGTGATTCAGTTTTTCACTATATTTCAGTGTTTTCAGTTTTCAGTACAAATCCTAACAGACTTCAGAAACTTTACATTCCTCTGAAAAATACAAGGTTAGTTTTGTTTAAACGCCACCCCTGAATATATGTATATATGCTGCAATTTACAAGGAAAACAAAAAAACAAAAGTTCTCCACATGTAAACCTTCTCCCATTCATTCAAGTGCTGCATCACACGCGGTGCCCCAAAATACATACAATGTGGTGGATCGGCATGCTGAACCAGAGGATTTACAAGTCAGACATGAGAACCAGTGTACCCCTCTCTCCTGTTTCTTCTACTTACAGTGGTTGATCTTGAGAGTTCCCCATATCTCCTAGCTACATATTTGCACGCAATGACAAGGAAAGTGTAAGGCCATAAAACTTGAACAAACAAGGTAGAATAGCCATGGAAAAATATAGACTAGTGCTCCATGAATCAACCCCCCAGGATCTTAGAAACAGCTGACAGATGCGATTAGAAGATTATCAGTTTTAGACTTAGTTTGATCATTTAATACCAGAAGTAGGAAAGAGTATCAGGTTATCAGCCAATGCATTAGCAGGGAATCAAAGCCTGCATACATATATAAGATTCCGTTTTCTCACTATATGTTGCAGAAGGTTAAACGTATCTGAACAGATCATCTTAGCAGAGTCTCAAAAATAGAATAGAAAGACCAAACCCTTTCTAACAACTACACAAATTGCAAACTTGGAATGAATCAAACCAGCTAAGGCCATCACACAAATATTTTCTATAAACAGAAAGAACAGACTATTTTTATACTAGTCTGTTGGCTAATTCTTTTGTTTGCCCATCTTTTGAAGGTTTCTCTTATTTCCTTATCCAGAACAAGGCCTAGGGAGAGGTAGGATCAGCCTGCCAAAGGGAGTCCCTAGCTTTTCTTCAGTTCAAAACTATGCTCCACAAGGTGCATGGTTTAGACCTAGCTAGGGAGAATCTTGAGATTGGATCACGTTTGTTTAGTCTATCCAAATGCTCCCTTCCTGGTTCAATTTCCACTATCTAAAGTTAATTGGCTGGTGAATGACCCCTCAAGAGCATTCCACAAATATGCCCCAGGGGACCATGACATTTGCTCCCCATAACCAGTCCATTTTGCTATCTTGGTTTTGAAAATCTAGTTCATTACTGCAGTGCTCTAAAAGCAGAACTAAATATGAAAGAAGAAAACAATGATCTGAACAACTAAACTAGGATGATCACAATGGTGGTGTCACTGAAAGTAGTCGCAATGCAGAATTCCAGGCTGTAACTCAAAAACTTTCATTCTTTGCCTTTATTGAAAATTCTACCTACAGGTGCCACAATTACAATAAAATATGCCAACTACAATCTAAGATCTTAATATCTTACTGCAAAGAATAAACTTTATTCAAACTGAATAAAACTTGACAACTTCAAGAAACAAATAAATAAGAACCACAGTAAATAAAAATTAAAATAAATATGGAAGGAGCTAGTGACTTTTGCCTAAGGTTTACCCCTTAGGGCTTAGTATACCCCACCCACCTGACCAATGGCGCACTTGATACTAGAACTTGCTGAATTCACCACCCTAAAATTGAAAAACACCTCTGGGACTCCCATTATGAAAACTTCTAGGGAAAGAGAGCTAAGGTCACAATTAAGGTTTCACAAAGAACCCTTTTTCCTCCATGGGGCAATGCCAAAACTGGCACCTCCCCAATTTTAAAACCAAGAGGGCTGGGCGTGTAACTCTTCTTAAAGGTGTGTACCAGCCCTACACTTATGGAGAGCAGCGTGCAACCTTTATGCGAGAGAGAGAGAGAGAGAGAGAGAGAGAGAGAGAGAGAGAGAGAGAGAGAGAGTATATTAGTATATATATACTACATACACGACTACGTACTATAGTAGTAGTAGTACGTACGTACGTTACGTACGTTACTTACCTTACGTTACGTTAC